TTGATACATTTAAGACTATCTTCCATTTCATGTATGAATGGTTTGGTCGTGAACGCGTTACAGTTTGAACACTTGTGAGGAGTAAAATGATGCTAAAAACATTATACAATAACTACAATATTTAACGGTAGGTGTCGAAACGCTGTTTATTTCATTGTGTGACGTGAGGGGATTTGTTTCACTGATATTCTTGACTGTCTCAATTCCAATGACATTATAAAATCTGTTCAAGTCAATATGCATGTACAACATGTAATTACATGTTCTAACTGATTATAAATTTAATTAGTCACTGTAAAAGCTTAGTATTTGAAAGAAGCCATCGTAGAACAAAATTTGTAAACTGTTGTTGAAACTAATGTATTATTATCTTTACGTCTCTTAAAACATAGCAGTAGTTTAAATACAGCTAGAGTCTTGTAGAAAGGTAAAATCGCAATATGGAAATTGTGTCCCTTATCAAACAACCCAACATGAATCAGAGATTTATAATATTCTCATTTCCATAGAGATAAGTTGATGACCAGCTACAATGACTTTGTGTAGCAAGGATCCAATGAACATGCATCCGTGTCAACATTTCTGATAAACAAACATTTCCACTTAAATGCATATCTGTAGTTAATAACTTTCGCTATAATTTCTGCTTATACTACATACACATGTCGCATGTACATCTTAGCAGAATACAATTACTTCAACCTAGGCTTCATGAGATTTTGACTGATAGTAGTGTAGATATATGTTCTGTAAATACAATTAATATATAATCGGTGTGTCATTGCTTGTAACACCCGTGAAGATCCGGGTTAGAATGGGTCTTCAACAACACATCCTTGTCGTAAGAGGCGACTAATTATTTTTACGGGATCGGGTGGTCAGGCTCGCTGACTTGGTTGATGCATGTTATCGTATCCCAAATGCGTGGATCGATGTTCACGTTATCAATCACTGTATTGTCTGGTTAAGACTCGATTATTCACAGACCGTCGTCATATAGTTTGAATAGTCCGCCGTTAAACAACAAACATACTAACAAACAAAAACATTGCTGGTAAAGCTCGAATTATTCTGAAAACTGAAAAGTATATTATTCAGAAATTAAAATATTAATTTCAATTGTCTAACGTAATGTTATCAATTTAAGCAAACATACAACCTACCCAGGAGAAGAACTATCACGCCAAATTTCAACATGACTGGGGATATTTGCGTGAGCACCGTTTCTGCGTCTGTACGCAGACGCTGTGGCGAAGATCAGTGCGTCCCTCAAATGTAACACCCGTCTCCATAGCACCAAAATGTTGAGTCACATGGCCTGAACATAACAATAAGATGCTCGAGATACTCTCCAATATGAATGGTTAAATGTGGGGCCGGGGCTTGACCCTCCTTTATACATAAAACCAATTGTTCCTTGTGAGAGCATGAGAATTCTAAAATCCACTTCTTCAAGTCTTGTCTCGATATTTTCATATAACGGATAACATGACGACACCGAGTGTTTCAAAAACGAACTGTTCGCGCAAGTCAAATACTATTCTGTTTGGAAAAAAATTGAGGGATTTTGTAAATAATGTCATAGAATTTAAATAAGTAAGGGTTTTGTCGCTTTTATTTAAGGGTCTCGAGTTGCAGTCTAACGAGAATGAGAGTTATCACCGAAGTTTAACAAGATCGAGTGTTTGTCTGAGCGTCGGCGAAGATCAGTGAGCCCCTCTAAATGTAAATTCAAAATATCAACGCCAGCGAATAATCAGTCTCGATTAACTACCGATTCAGATTCTATTGGGCGTAAATGCCAAAATAGTGATGAAAATTATATGAATTGATCACTGAAAATGAGTGTTCATTTGTTGCCTATACTCCTGCCATACGACGGCGACCTGTAAACAATCGAACCTGGATCAGATAACTTGGTGATTAGGATAAGAGGCAATGATCCACCTCATCGTTTTTACGAAGCCATGCTGTCAACCAAACCATCAAACATGACCACCCAATCCATTTAAATGCCCGTGAGTGAGGATGTGTAATAACTGCCCGAAGAGGCCATAATATGTCACAGCAGTGTGCATCATGTTGACAAGCAAGTGCCATATTTAGTAAAGTCCTCTGAATGTCTGCCATAAGCATGTTGAAGCTTTGACCGGGCCTTCGATGGTGAAACATTGATTGTAAACCTTAGTTGCAAGCAAAGTAAATGGTACTCCGTAAGTTGCAATTGATGGCATATTGTGAGACACTAAGCGAAAAGCTACGAGTGGAAAATCGAAATCACCCCTCTTATCATACAGCATGCAGCAGAGATGCCATGCACAGATCCAGCTGAGAAGATGTGCTTTCACAGTTATTTCTTTGTTTTCAAATCCCTGTGGTTAGATATTCATCATTGTTACCACTTTGCAAACTGTCCCTAATGACTCGATTGATGTTTTCTCCGTTAGTACGAGTATTTGATTATTCAGTATTGTATTTAAAGACATTTTTGTTTATTATTGAGTGATATATGGAATATTTATATATTTCTACACTGTCAATTATTGTGATGAATTGTATAGATCTTGTTCATAGTGTCTGTGTTCATAGAAACATCTTTAGCAATGTATGGAACTCGTCTGTCATGTACTGTAATCAGAGAATATCTATATGTTAGTGTTAAGAAATGGTTTTCAGATCTGATTGCTCTTTAATGCCACGATAATGTAAAAATAATATTTTGCTGCAATTTTCACTCATTGAAACGCTAATTATACTCATTATACCGAATATACCTTATTTCTACGTGCCAAATTATTGTGGTTTATATTGACTGCATTGAACTTCGAAAAAGGAAGCAGTCACCACATATACCTTCTAAAAACTATAAATGACACACGACCACGAATGTAATTAGTAAAAAATAAATTTTATTCAGGGCAGTTTTCAATACATGTGCATGTTTGCTTGCTCAAAGCACCTGCCACAAACCACTTATGACTTGCTAGAACTCGGTTAACGCTAAATGCAAGCTCTATTTGAAATAATCTTTAACTGAAAAGTTTAGATTTAATTCTTGTCCAACATGGCTCATGGCGAAAGGTGTCACAAAAATAGACAATAATGTCCTACAAAGTTGTCGTTAGGTTACCGAAATTCAGATATAAGCTGCGGGAGAACTGATCACAGATCTTAACCCGCTGGATCACGACTGGGTCATTCTTAAAAAACACGATACGGAAGTGGGGCACATACAGGAGTCGCACCATGCAACAACATTTTAATAAACGTGCCTTACGCCGCACTTACAAACAATCAAGTCTGGACCAAACAAACTAGTGATTGATACTATACACAATGATCCAAGTTATAACGCCACTTAATCAACCAAAGTCACCGATATGGACCACATAGTTCTTTAAAGTAACTGCCAGTGTGAAAGGTGTGAAAACGCCATGTAAGCTCATAGTACAGAATAGCTTCGCGTGACAAGTGACGTGCTATATTTTGTAAATTATTGCCTCTGAATGTCTGCCCTAAATTATCTGGAAAGATTTAACCAGTCCTTTGATGGTGACATCTTGAAATTTTGAAATGCTTGGTTGGGCGCAAAATATCTTCCGATGAAATTTGAATGCAATTTGCATGCTCTAAAGAATCTAATAAGGAACAAGTCGATTGCTCGACACGAAGGGGGAACTTCACGATTGTAAAATCGAAATCATCCTTCTTGACATGCAGCTTGGCGCATGGGTTCGAATCTCGAATTCGCCCCGGTGGCCCAGTTCTATAAGGCGCCTCAATTCGCTGTGCAGAGTTGCGTCCTTTGGACAGGCCAGAAACCCATGATTGTGGGTTCGAATCCTGGTTCGCCCCGATTATGTTTCTAGGTTTGCTAGCACCATACCCGTGAGTGTGGGTTTCACCGAATTGGTAAACGTCTAAGACCTGCATCACTTCGGGCTTTCCTCCCACATTACGCTGACACGCCGTGATATAACTGGAATAGTGTTAAAAGCGGCGTTATAGCCAACTCACTCACTAACAAATATGGCAAACGTCTGGGTCCTTCATTCGGGTTTCCGCTCATGTCAGACTTACACGGCATCTAGTAACTGAAAAACTTAGTGAAACCCAAGAGTTTACGCGAGCCTACACATCGAATCTTGGCGTCTCGGAGACCATTAAGGCAATATTCAACTAAGCAAAACGTGTATACTTTGTAATTCTACCGGAATGCTGATTACAACTATCTATTCTTTCAGAACCACATAAGACCCGTGGAGATCCGAGGTAGAATAGGTCTTCAGCCACCCAGGCTTGCCGTAGGAGGCGACTTTGCTTGTCGTAAGAGGCGACTAAAGGGATCGGGTGGTCAGGCTCGCTGACTTAGTTTGAAATGAGATTTCAATTGCTCGGATCGATGCTCATGATATCAATCACTGGACCATATAGGTGGAATATGGCTGAGTGTGGAGTTAAACAACAAACCAACCAACCAACCAAAACCATATAAAATCGTATCACTGAATTCTTGAAAAAGGAAATGTGACTTCAATGACAAGAAACGGGAACATTGTAAGTAGACAATATTTCTTAGGATGTTTACACTGCAAGACTGCAGGACTTAGGACACAAAATAACAGTATTACCCCTCTGAATAGGTTCACTTTATTAGTGTATGCTTTTGTAAACCTAATATGAACACTCTTTGAAGAATTGTCCGAAGAGGAAATATATGAGACATTAGCATGTTCTCATATACCTACAGTACCGTCACAAGATGATATATTTAACCTTTTAAACCTTACACTGGCTGATCACATGATCATATTTCGCTTCAACTCATCATACTTCGTTCCCCGTCATTATCGATGTGAAGTTTTGTCATTTGAAGAATCCTCACAGTGGTTCATTACTTACAGAAAAAGCGACGATGGTTACGAAGTAAGTGTGGCGTAAAAGAGAGTAAGGCATTGTGATAACAGTTGTAGGTCTTGAAAAACAAACATACAAGTAGATTTCGTGAACAGTACCGTTTATTTCAGCGGAACAATCAACAAGGATTAACTCAACACGTCATTAGGGTACGGAACACGTGGGTTGAGTCATGTGAGTATCCCACATGTTTTTTACGTTTGGAACAACAGCATATAAGCCGTAGAGTTATCAAAACCGGAACCAAAGATGCTCTTTCGGACATATCAGAGTAATAATAAGTATGACCACAAAGTGTTCGTCAGTGGTTACATGAATTATGTATGGCCCACGTCATACATTGCGGTCATACAAGCATTTCGTATTTTTTCGGAAAGCCTCATTGAAAATAGCTTCATGTCGATAATCAAATAAGTCAACCCGTTTTCATTGACAATTTCACCCGAAGATAGAAAAACTAATGTTGGTAATACAAATCAAAAGTTGGTGACGACAAATAGAAAATTCCAATATGACACACATTGCCGTCATTCCACAATGTCACATCTACATGCAGAAAAGCTCAGAATAAACAGGAGTTTCAAAGTGCCAGCATTGAGGGCGGTTACAGGAACATGTTTACAAGAACTGAAACGATCAGTGACGTCGTCGCAAAGGTCACATGATCCGCAGCACTCCCACCTGTAACGAAAAAAAAATAGGACATTTCTATAATATGCATTTTTAGTGTAATATGTTTTATATGGAAGTGTAATGAATTGTTAAACGATGATTGTAACTGTATATTATCGTGTCTGTTGATATTCAGTAAAAGTTTATTTGCCTCGTAGTTTGATAATAATTAGTTCTCAGGAATGTAGAATTACTTAACGAAAGTTGTGATTAGGAGGTTATTATATTTAGATGCTGATGAGATGAGATGCTATGTAGATGCTAGTGAGATGTCTAAACTTTATAAGTGGACCGGGCACGTCCCTCTCATCTCTCACGTTATCATCTTATATTTCATCTGACATTATATCAAGACCAACTTTCGCGTGAAGACAACCTTTCACCCTGATGCTGAGTGTCATTAATGAAGTATGTAATGAGTACTGTGTACGTTATGTGCTTATAAATTAACTCCAAGGACATAAACTTGATTTGTTTCATATTAATACAAAAGTGATACTTGTGATTTTGGTATGCATCACACGAAATATCGCACGAGCAAGATGGCTGAACCCGGACATAATTCGGGTCTAGTGTAGGGTTACAGAAGTGATGTACATACTCCTAATAATGCATGGTTTTAGGAACAACACTTACATGTGGCTGCGGTTATCTTGTCGTTGGTGTCAGTCAGAAGATCTGCCTGGGTTGTTGAAGTACACCCTGCCTCGGTAGTGGTGGTGATAGCAGAGAGGCAGGTTTTCAGTGTAGTCAGGACACTTTAAGACATAAGTGTTGGAAACTATATTATTTCCCTCAATTAAAGTAATAACCACTTCAATCTTTCAGGTATGGAAATGTCAGAGTGAACGAGGAAAACTGAAACGTCGACAGAGTTGTATGGCGGTGGACAGCACGTTCAGCAAAGCAGTAAGATGACAATCACGTGCAGATTGACAGGAATAGGTATATGTTATCCATATTTACTAAAGAGATCTTTTTGTAAGGTCGCATGGTTACTCCTTGACAACGATAAGGGATAAATCCCAAAATTAATGCAGTTTCACTTGTTCATTGATATGCTATGAGATAACGTTATGTAATTGATGATGTTTCACTCACGTGCAATATGTCGCGCTAGTGGAAGCGTCTCCCTTTGCAGCGTTGACCTCACACTGGCACGTGGAAGTTAGGGCTGAAAATATATCAAGAGTATGTAAATGGCTTACTTACTATTCCAGTTTGTTACTTTGGTGTATATAAACAGGGAAACGAGCTGTCTATATTATGATTTAGACGAAACAGATACCTTGGTGCATATAAACAGGGGAACGAGCTATACATATTATGATTTAGACGGAACAGATACCTTGGTGCATGTAAACAGAGAAAGGAGCTATATATAATATGATTTAGACGGAACACATACCTTGGTGCACATAAACAAGGAAACGACACAGATTTAGACGAAACAGATACCTTTTTGCATATTAACAGCGAAACGAGCTGCATATAATATGATTTAGACGAAACAGATCCCTTTTTGCATATTAACAGGGAAACGAGCTATATATATTATGATTTAGACGAAACAGATACCTTTTTGCATATTAACAGGGAAACGAGCTATATACAATATGATTTAGACGGAACAGTTGCTTTGGTGGATACAAACAGGGAAACGAGCTATATATATTGTAATTGTGCCTGTCGGAACAGTTCGCGTTGATTAGTTTTGTTCAGAATAAAACTCTGGGGTTTTAACCGAAGTAGCCTTTGGTCTGTTTCCTGTACACTTTAAACGTACACCGCATTAACTAACTGACATAACAGAATTAAACGCACCGTAATCATCCTGCAATTACAACACAGATACATTGATAACACCTGACCATCGGTACCTCTAGCTCTCTAACAGTAGAGTCTAACCATTAAATTTGTTCTGGTTCGTTACAGTATGACTGTTGCAGTTCTTCTCGCCTCTTTCTTTGAATGACAGGTCAAGTGAACGTGGTTTGATGTTACACTCCGTTGATTGACTACTGACGTTGTGGGCGTGTCGGGTTTTATGCATAAATGAAACAATCACCTGACACATGTCACGCTACAGTTCGTATTGCTGCGGCTAGAATGTTTATCACTCTCGTCATTTCTTCCTACATTGATTTATATAATTGTATTTAATTAAATCATTCTAGATAACAGATGTTTGCGTTGTCGAATTTCATTATTAGGATCGGCTGTGTATTTCTGTCAGTTCCTTGAGGTATTCACACAGTTTGCACATCGGTTTTTTTGGTTCACACCAAGTATAAACCGACAACAATACACAGCCAATCCTTGAATATGACTATCTACAACATGGTTAGAACGAACTCCAAGAGACTCCTCAATATAAAGCAACTACCTGGACAATCGCCTGTTGGCAGTAGGGCTCTTGCTGATTCAGAAGCCGTTGCAATGGCGCTCTTGTTCGTAGTGCCGTCACAGCCGGTTGATTGAGCAGTACTCAGGCAGCTCAACTCAGCTTTGTAAGCGCTATAATAAGTACGTAGAAAAGATCAGATGAATATCATCCCAGGCCAGTACACAGATATGCATTTAGTTCTAGGATTTTCAGAGAAAGAACGATGTGTTCCTACATCAAGGATGTATTGGATGCGCGTATTACTAAAACTGTCTCAACCCGATTTCGTGAACAATAAGTGAGTTGTTTTATGTATTAGTTATATTGGTATATTCATCATACAGGAACAAAGGGGAGAGTTATTTCAATGTTTTAGATTTTTTATTTGGTTGTTTAACTCCGCAGTCAGCGGCCATTAAATACACGGGCCAAAATAAAACCAGTGGTTGAAACTATGAAGAATGTTTCATGACACTCAAACAACCAAGTCAACGGATCTGACCACAGGATTCATTTAGTTTCTCTTTAATTCTCTTGATATACATATAGTTCAACCATTTTCAACGTACGTGCATTTTTGTTCATCAGTCTCTTTTGTTGCAGCATCGAAAGTTCTCTGGCAGACACATGTGTCAAAATCTGGGAACAGCAATTCCAGAGTTATGTTATTTTTACATGAATCATTTCTCATAAACAGATGCATATTTCTAAAAATTATTTTGAATTAAACATTATTAGTAATGTCAATATTTGCAGTTTACTTACTGCAAGATGTTGTAGTTGTTACAGAGTTAGCGACAGCCGTCTTCAGGGCATCTATAGTGGTACCGCCAGCACAGGGATCCGTAGCCAGTGGATAGAGGCATGCATACTGGGCCTTGTAGGCACTAGGACAAAGAAGGAAACTGATATTGAACATACATAATAAAGTGAGACCATTATGAAGCGAATGCTTTATATTTAGTCTGATAGTATTGCACTCGCCTCTTACAGAGATGTGGACAAGACAAAATGGTGTTGCACTTAAACGCCGTCTCTTAACAATGAAAACTTTAGTTTAACTCACGTGCACTTCTTGGCATCAGTGGAGATGTCTGCTTTAGCTGCGTCAATCTCACACTGGCAGGCGGTGGTGACAGCTAAACATAAATAACAAGATGGTATCGAAAACATTATAAATATGTAACGGCAACCAGTCTCGATTATCAGCCGAAACGACTCCACCAAACGTAAAAGGCAAAAGGCAGTTACAATTAAAGAAATGGATCCCTGAAAGTCAGTGATGACACCAGGTGTTCGCGAAAAGAGTATGCATGGCATGCTCAACCGTAAGCACCGCTTCTCACAATGTTCATGAAAGTAAGTGTTTTTTGTGTCCTTACACCGCACAGATATACTTCTATCATTCGTCTGCGGCCTGTAAACAACCGGCACTCACACGTGTCACCAAAAGCTGTGAACACGGGAATCGAAAGCTTTTATTGATTCTACAAGCATCATTTAAAAAAAACCAGATGCATATTTCCAAAACTTCTCTCAAATTAAACATTTTTATAAATTAGTTATGCTAATATTTAAAGTTTACTTACAGCAAGATGTTGTAGATGTTACCGACGTAGCTGCAGCAGACCTCAGAGCGTCTATGGTAGTACCGCTTGCACAGGGTGCAGTGGTCAGTGAGTAGAGGCATGCGAACTGAGCCTTGTAGGCACTATGAAAAAGAAGGATGGAAAGTTTTTTAACTGACAGTGTCCACACAGAATACAGTAAGACCGTTAAGAAACGAAAGTTTTGTTTGACTTATTCTGGTGTTATTGTCCCCCGCTTCTTACAGACAAGGGGACAAACAGGGGAGGACGGTCTAACTACACCTGAGGAGAAAACGGAATTCTCAGACATCAGTTGATATCCCGAACACATACATGTACCCTGCACCAGCTAACAAGTGAGTAATGTATTTGATAAATGGAACTCTGCAATACTATTCTTTCCAATGTCGGCATTTCCGTTATTTTGGGATCATACATTGCACTCGCCTCTTACAGAAATGTGGACAAGAAAAAATGCTGTTGTACTTAAACGCCCTGTCTTAACAATGAAAACTTTAGTTTAACTCACTCGCACTTCTTGGTATCATCAGAGATGTCTGCTTTAGCTGCGTCAATCTCACACTGGCAGGCGGTGGTGATGGCTAACAATAGATAACAAGATGGTATTGAAAAGAAGTGTTCATAAGTAATGATAATGTAATGTCAGAACGTTATAAACAATATTTTTTTGTGTGATTGCAATGAAACCAAATTCCGTGGCTATTAATAATGCAGTAGAATATTCCCTATGTATTGTGTGCTTTTGCCCGTAACTAAGGTTTGCCTCAACAATGCGAGAGACGCGATGAGGCAATACAAAGTATACAGTTAACAGTACTATAATATACAGTTTATGAACGACAGTTTACCACAAGCTGGAGTAGTTAGTGCTTTCATCCTGTTCTCTACACCGGTAGCTAGGGTTATTACACTGGAGCTGTCATCACAGGCCATGGCTGTCTTCCCCTTTAAGCACGTGATGTAGGTCTGGGCGGCACTATGGACAACATAAAACGATGATATCACGAATGACGCTGGAAAAATATATACTACAATGTTACTAGTACGGCATTACATGGAGTTTTTTTTTATTTAGCACTCCAGTGTTTTCATTCATGAGACATGATGTGTGTGGACACAAATAGTGATTGAGTGAGTGAGTGAGTATGGCTTTACGCCGCTTTTAGCAATATTCCAGCAATATGACGCTGGGGGACACCAGAAATGGGCTTCACACATTGGTGGACGCAAATACGTTTCATAATCGAAAGAATGTATACATGATTGCATTTTTGGACCAACAACATATATATGTATATCATGCATATTTCTTCGTGTACTTAATGGCTGCACAATTTGAGATTATTTGCACTTATTTGTTTCACGATAGTACTTAATCGATAATAACATCAAAGAAAATGTTCAAAAAAACTAGTCGGGGGCGGTGCCGTGGCCAAGTGGTTAGCCAAGTTCGTCACGCCGAAGACCCGGGTCCGATTCCCCACATAGGTACGATGTGGAAGCTCATTTCTGGTGCTCCCCGTCGTGACACAGGAGGATTATTGCTAAAAGCGGCAATAAACCATACTCACACACTCACTCACTCTAACGTGTCTTTTCCTTTCACACAGATACAAACCGTACATAATACAACATGATCCTACTCGAAAGTCACCCACCATCTGGTGCTCTGATAAAAGGGATGTGGCTGATTTTGTGTGTTAAAGATAATATATGTTTTCAGACACTGCTTCAAAACAAGCAATTTCTTACAGTTTACTTTCTTTTACAGAATATCTGTTGTCATGCCATCAAGCAGTAAACGCTTTCATATATTCAAAGATATTACAGGTCCCCTAAAAACATTCATATTTCAAATGATCGATTCACTAGCTATATAGTATACTTTGTTTTACCCTTATCAAATGGCATTATGATATATTACCTGCAAACAGCTGCATCACCTGCGATCTGGTCAGTCTTCCAGAATTCTTTCTGACAAACACAGGTGTCCGTAAATGCTGGAAGTACACATGCAAAGAAATTGCAGATAGACATGAACATTAAAAGATGCAAAATGTATGTTGTACCCTTCCATGCATCTCTTGTATAATCTTTTTCTTAGATATCTATTAAATGTAGATTATATTAATGAGAACACCGTAAAGAATATATATGATACATGCATTTTGTAGAACACGTTAGATAACACCCACCAGTCTTATAGGTTATCACCTACCACACGATTTATTGTCAAATTATCTTTCCGCATATACCTTTTCCTATCACCCTATGCAACATAAAATATTCCGTTTATCATCATTTTCACAGCGCAAACTCCACTCACTTTTACATCACATCGTTCATCATGTAACTATTCATTTAGCATGTACACATAACACTCCATTAATCTTCAGTCTAATCATAATACCTCTCATACTTCACACTAGCTTGCACGTATCTAGATCTTTATTCAGCTCACGGAAGACGTTCTCATTTAAGCCTATGGTCAGGCCCTTTAGCATCCTAACATTCCTTCTATGTTACGCTGACCGCTCAACACTTTATCCACGTTGCCACTTTAACCATATCATCATTCGATTCCAAAACCGTCCAATGATTTGTGTACATAAACGTCCATCAACACATCGTCATTGCTCATTCAACCAAATATGTATAACTTATAAACTGCAATGATCACTTCATGGTAAGCAATCAAACTCATCAAACTATAACTCCTCCCGTCTGTCTGCCAGTTCCTTTGCCCAATACCTCAAATACACATCTTTGCTATCTATATGATCCATTTTTATCCGTCTACATTATACATTGTTTGGATGACAAGGCATCAGCAGTTGTCTGTGGTCTCGTCGGGGATCCCTCCTATTCCTCTGACCAATCTGTCATACACTAATTAAATCTACGCAGTTTATGTTCTACAGAAGTATCAACACATACATAATACAACATACATGCACTACAGGTATCTGCGTCATAATCCGTCCCTATGGTCCCGGCGTCAGTACCAGACAGGGGACAACCGGCGTCTCCCTTTGCAGAGGTCTCCAGACAGGTCAGGTACGTCTTCAGTGCACTGCGGAAAAGAAACATTTGATTCGCCTGAACATTGTACTTGAGCAAACCACAGATGCATATATGTATGGTTATTCTTCTCGCTATATGGATGAAATACTGAAAGTGAAATAAACAAAATATTGACTAACTCAAATGTTTCGCAAATACAAGTTCTAGTTGTCTGAAGTAGAAAGCAGTGTGCATACAACCCTTACAAGACCTCATATCACAAACTGATGGTAAAATTTATACATCTATTGGGGTCTGGTTTACTACTTTGTGAAGCTTTCCGGTGTTCAGCAAAGTTTCGTATTTCGAAGATTATCCAAGATCAGGGAGACCTTCAATAGTCGCCACAATGAAAAATTGTGAAAAAATAGATGATATGATCACCGCACGTCACATCGCCTATACAATAAGCATCTCCCAGTGAGAGTTGAAAACATTTTCCCGAACTTGAAGAAATGACTGGAAAGTCAGCTAGCCTGAACACCCGATCCGGTTAGTCGCCTCTCACGACAAACATAGTCGCCTTTTGCGGCAGGCATGGGTTGCTGAAGACCTATTCTACCCCGGACCTTCACGGTACTAGAATTAATCTCACGCTTTTGGAAAATGAAATAAATCATGTTACAAAATTGAAATCAAAGCTAGATTTTTATATAAAGCAATTGATTCTGCATGATCATGACGGGTGTTACTTTTACGAAAGTTCACTTAACGTTACGCCTGACATCCTATGCCGACACCAATACCAACCTTAAAGTAGAGCTATTTTGTCATTGATACAATTAATGTGTACAGTGAATCGTCATCACTGTAATGGTAATACACTGCTCGAAGTCTGTGGTTGAGTATGCAACATACCTTTACAGACTCACAAACTTATTGTTTCTTTTTCAATTACGACAATATAGATATTTCTTAAGTTCATTTCATCTTTTAGTTGGTACTTATGGCTTGTATTCATTGCTATATACTAGTATCACGGAAACGTTATTAAATTCAGTTAGTTGGTTGCTGTATCTGTTATAAATATGGTTGGAGACATATGAACTAAGCATGCACCTGTACATCATATTAGCTTTTCACTCATTTTACAAATGATAAGTAAAGTATGATGTGCAAATAATATGTCTTGTAAAAGGACTTACGCGCATTTCGCACCGGCCGCGGATGTGGCATATGTTGTTTTACAAGCGTCACACGTTTCTGCCGACGTTGGCGGACAGTAAACTGGAATAGAATGTTACATGAGTTTTAGGCTGATAAAATGTGTATCAAATCCCGAAATGCTCAGATCATGATTTTGTTATGAATAATGTGGACACAATTTATGGATAACAACTTCATGTAATAGCGCCGTTTCGGTACAGATCTTTATATCGTTGCTTGATTGTGTCTACATTGTCGCAATCAACTTCTTTGAAATACCCATTGAACAATGTTATAAGTAGGTAGATTGAGATGTTTATTACCGAGGCTCACTGTATTCAGAACTAACATGCTCTTGTGCAGCATCATTAAACGCATATTAAAATGAACATGATCACTGAACCGTTCACGCTTGTAGCCATTGTGGTACAACCTTAGTACTTGATATCAGTCATTGCATTTCTCTTCTTTCTTATTCAATAACCAAACATTATAACACAACAAGGTATACACTGACTTGGTTGATGCATGTCATCGATCCCAATTACGTGGATCGATGCTCATGATGTCAATCACTGGATTGTCTGTTCCAGACTCGATTATTTACAGACTGCCGTCATATATAGTTGGAATATTGCTGAGTGCGGCGTTAAACATCAAACCAATCAACCAATATGCCAAAGGCATATGTCTTGAGTACCATTATTATAAATTGTTTGTTTGTTTGTTGCATTTCAATTTGCACGGAACTCACGTGCATTAGCTTACCATGGCCGTTGCCGTGATGCGTTTTGGCAATCGGTTTTATTGTCATCTGCTTTGTTTTTTATCATCAAATTTCCGGACAAGGTAATGTTAAATTTTAGAAACTTAGATTTTACCCAGATATTTA